CCCAGCCAGCTGCTCACAGGGCAGCGGCAACACCCCTCTTTCCTGGGCAGATCAGAAGAGGATTCTGGGGAAGCGTCTGGTCCTGTTATCTTTGACACACCTGATCCTGGTGTGCTCACGCAGAGGTGGACCCACACAAATGAAAACATGCCGCTGGCAGCACCCAGGCCATGAGGGAGGAAACTGTGTTTAGGAGACGTGGTCATGACAGCTCCGGTTCTCATCTTCCATGATTCAGGCCACCTGGGATCACCAGGTTCTTAAAGACACATTCCAGAGTGTAAATTAAAAAAAAAAAAAAAGGAAAAGAAAAAAGCCCAGGTTGTTAGTTCTAAGGTGCCTCTGATCGAGTCTCTTTGAAAGAACAAGCAGAATTGTCCATTTGTCATTTGTACTTTGATATACAGGTACCTTTTTTTATTTTTTGGCTTGGTCTCATCCAAAACAAAATACACAGCTTTTTGTTTGTTTGTTTGGTTGGTTGGTTGGTTTGGTTTGGTTTGGTCTCATCCAGGAATGCAACGTACATTTTCCTCTCCTTCACCCCAGCATGAAAAATAAAAGCAGGGGTGAGGAGGGAGAGCTGAGCGTGGAAAGAAAAGTAAAGCTTTTCAAGAAACACACACACACATACGCACACACACACACAAACAATACAGAACAAAAGTCGTAGTCCAACCGTGCAAAATTTTGCTTCTCCAGATAAAGCACTTCTTGACAGGTTCACAATGCCCCTTTCCCCCTCCCGAGTCCTCCCGTCCACCCGGGCAAAAATACAGAATGAAAGTGAAGCCATTCTCTCCCTTAAGGCTGAACAGACAGACACACAGAGAACACATTTCAAGGACCGTCTGGCGGGTGGTGATTTGCTGGGCTCTTCCTCGAGCCTGGGCTGCCACCTGCAATCCATCCTGAGGTCTGCGGCACTCCTTGGTGGGGCACCACGACAACGTCCACACAAAAGAAGAAACGCCAGTGGTCCCAACAATAAAATCCCATATCGACTTTACAATCACAGGTACAAATTGCTCGGATCGATCATTTCATTTCTCCTGAAGACCTTGTCGTCTAAAACTAATTAGAGGCCAGGTTCCCGAGGAATGGTCAATATTCAAAGAAAACACTGGAGATGTGGAAGGAAATCATTCTTTTCCCGCAAGTCTGACGGAGGTTGGAAATGAGTCGTCCCTGCTCGGGCAAGTTCACGGAGTGAGGGGTGGGGGGCGGATTCCTGGGTCCAGGTGGCAACCTCCCCACCGTCC